TCAGATTTGAATACCACCAAGAATGGGTGATATGCCAAATATTCACAATACATTGTTTTGGAAAAGAAAATGAACAAAAGCACGCGCATCCAAAAGAATAGAGAAACTAAATATAGGTCCTTGAACAAAAATAGAAAAAATAGGTTGTCACACCACAGCTCCATGGAATAAATAATTATTTAAAATCTTGTGAATATTGCAGTGGTTTTAATCTAAACTCATAAGTATGAGAGTGTTTAGAGAAATATTTTAATCGCTTTATACTAAAGCAGTAAAAATGCCATTATTGTTTGTGCAATTCATTCTTGTGAATAAATTCAAACTTGTCTATTTCACTGAATCGATTCATAGTCTGATTCAATAGTTTGTATGCATGATCACTAAGTCTTTGTGTGACTTATTTCAGTAAATGTTTCAGTGAAAATGTTGATACCTTTGGCTGTTTATTAGAAGTTTGTTATATTAGTGCATATGACTTCAAATAAATAAATACAAATTAATAAAATAATAAATAAAAATCAGAATAAAAACATTTCTTTAAAAGCAATCTTAAAGCAAATAATACACAAATGTCAATACATTTATTGAATATATAGAGGAGAAACAATAATGTACAGTATGTGGAAAATAATGTGTTTTTTTAACTTTAAACCGCATAAACACATTTCATTACACCAAATACACAAAATAATGTTCTTTTTAGCAGCATCATATGACCCCTTTAAGACATTTTAACACCCTAGCCCTAGTGATGAATGTACAGGAAATCCGTGTGGGGAATTTGTCCTATCTTTCCTTCACACCTACCCATCCCCTGTGCTTTCTGCTGTGAGGCGCCACCCATTTAGGGAGTGTGCACACATGATCTCTTACCTGCTTCGCTCACAAACACTGGACGTGCTGCTGGCATTCTGTCCACATTTACTGAGGCTGCAGGGCAGAAGTTTAACATCTGTTTTCTCACAGTCTTTAGGATTTTCTTCCTTTATTGTCATATTTTCTTTGTCTGTGGTGTTTTACAAGAGATCTTAAATGGAATAACTCTGCCTGCGGAAGTGGCAGATAGGGATATTTTCTCCAATTTTATTTCTGCATCTTCACCTCTGTTCTCTCAGGTCTTCGTGTGCTCAACACAGACAGGGTGAGTAGTTGCCACAATTAATTTTGATGTTACTTTGTGATTCTATGTTGTATTGCATTCTCACTTAAATGAACGATTCAGATCTTTAAAAACTATATTAGGCCAGATGGAGTTTGGAGAGATATTATAATGCATACTATACTATTATAGTTATGGTACTGATACTGTTACTATTATTATCTGCATGTCAAGGCTTAAACTTTTTTGGTTATGTTAATGCAGTAATCGATATAAAGACACTGTAAGTTAATGTGTTGTAAAGGTGTAAAGCTACAAACATCAGGAAAAAGAAAAAAATAATAATTGTAAACTTTTTGTGTTTACAACACATGTTCCACATTGTGTCTGGATGACATCTACTCTTAATGTTTTAGTTACTTTATTAATTATGCTTCAAACATTAATAAGAAGGTTGTGGTATTGTCATGATTTTGATATCTATTGTTACCTACCACCACACCCACACTAGATAATCCATCACTTGGTTAATTATTACACCAGCCTTTGAAAGCTGAACAACTCAAACATATACAAATCCTGCCACAGAAGGATTTGCTCATATATTTAATAGTGTTGCAGTGTTTCATGCTCTCTACTTAATTTCAATATATTTTAGTATGGATTTATGTTAGAAGTTTTCTAATAAATGATCAGACACAGAATATAGTGTTAGGATACTTGTTGTACCATGCTTGGCCTGTATTGTCTAGGTAAGACTGTTTTTCCGTCCAGAATGCATTGCATTTAAGGGAAGATTAGTATGTTAATCTCAGGTGTGTTTAAATATATGTGCGTTGTTTTGTGTGTACTTCGGTATACTATGGAATCACCTGAACATTTTTAGTTGCATATAGTTGCAGTTCCAGTCAGGCAGCTATAAACCGTCAAATCTGTAACTGCTATCTGTTTTAGTCACCATATTCTCCAGAATTGGATCTCCACACTCAGAATTCAGTTGCACACAACTCGGATATGTAAATCCAGTTAAGTTTAAGTTTAAGTTTCCCTTTTATTGTCTCCCCTAGGAGAAATTTGTCTTATAGGCAACCGGGAGAGCAGATCAAACATACAAAAAAAAAAAAAAAGTTGTGGAAACACCAGACTTTCTGCAGTTTGATCTTGCTAGTACCTGTTAACTTTATCCTTCAATCAAAACCAGTCATGCTGTTTTCACAATGCATTTATCTACACAGTCATCAGGGTTGTTGCAGACGTTTCTGACAGGCATTTTGTGAATTTGTGAAGCTGTTGGAAGTTGGCTAGTGAGATTTTTCTTCATTGTTTCCTGCAGAGGGTGATGATTATCAGTGGTGGACGCACTGGTGGACGCATTTAGCCCTATGTGACGTCTGTTTTTATATAAAAAATCATTATGAAAATATAATTATATTTTCCTTAAAATGTTCTTTCTTAACTTCAGGCCTTATTCTCATGTCATATATGTTCTGCAAAACAACAAGCTTTAAAACACTTTTTTCTTACTGGTGA